AAGGCGGTGAAGTTCTAAACTGTCTAAGCCCAAAATTTCAAGTCTGATGGCATAAGGGATTCTGTTGCGAGCAGAGGAGTGGAGGACTCTTCTCGTGAAATATCTCTGGACTCTGGACTGTATTAATGTCTGATGTGCAGTGCGGGTTCCAGACAGATGAGCTGTATTCAAGAATTGGTCTAGCAAAAGTTTTGTATTCCCTAGTTTGCAGTCCAATATTACCCTAGAAGACGCTTCTCACAATTAGGTTAAAAAGTCTTAATGCCTTTTTGGCAATGCTGTTGCAGTGAGCTCTGGCATTTAGATCATTTGCGATCCTTTCTTTCGTGATTTCAACAATTTGCTTTTTCTGCATAAAATTCAGTTACAGGATTAAAGCCCCAATGCTCCTCGTCAAGCCACCCATTTTAAATGAGTGGTTCGGCCCTAATTTTGTTGAGAGTACTTTGAGATAAACAAAAGAAACTGTTATTCTATAGTCTACAATAGACCTCTTTGTGACTCCGCAATGTATTTTGCACCTTTAATACTTTTGCCGTGGATGTTGTGCTAGTTGTAAAATGTCCCCAGATCTGGGCTATATATATATTTTCTATGTTGTCTGGATCAGATATAGTTGCCACTTTTCACTGCCATTCTATTAATATTTGCATACAAGAAGTGAGCTCTTATTAATTTAGAGGGCTTTGATCATGCATGCACATGATTGAATTACCTGGTTATTTCCATATTAAAAGCCTCCGTGTTGCTGAACAATTGCTTTACTATACCTGTCCAAAGCATGACTAAACCTGGATGATCCATTCCATTGTAGTGTGGAGGTGGGTTTTTTTTCCCCCTAAATATTTCTGCTTTCTTTCTTATGGTGAAAGAAAAGGAAACCAGGGGGATGGAATAAAATAAGTAATTTAGCACCACAGCCACCTTCCCTGGGGTGGCTAAATAAGGGGTAATTCCGCTCTTGTGCCCCAGCTGAGCTAAGCAGGGAAGCAAACAAATTGGCTGAGCCTATGGGTCTTTTTTTAAATGGCACATTCTAAGTCGTCAGTATGAAGTTCTCCTTTCAAAAGCTCTACTGCTCTTGTCCATATCCCACTGTGGCTGCAATCACATTTTACAACCAGAAGAGGAAAAAAAAAGTTCCATGAATCATGTCTGAAAGAACCCAGGAGGACAGCATTCAAGACAGTGGAATGCAGAATTTAACAGCTCCGTGGTCCTGGGGCTTCCCTCCTCAAACAGGACGAACCAAAAAATAAAAGGACAAAGAGAGAGACCTGAGCCACTGCGGAAATTCTCTTAACTTGTGGCAATTGTCCATATGACCTTGAAAAGCTTTTTTTTTCCCCTTCGGTGTTCAAACCAGCGCAGCATATTGGAACATCTTGGAAATGTCCTGCTCTTGGGTAGCTCTACAGGAAGAGAGTTTGTCTGACATGGGAAGCCACTTATGGTGAATTAACTTTGGGAAGCTGGTTTACAGGTTGTCAGAAGAAGTGCGACAGCGGTATGATTGCTTGCCCTCCAGAATGCCTTGGAACAGGCTGTTTTGCTGGTACCTGGGCTAGGCCCAGATTATTTCCCTTTTGTTACATGACAGAGGAAGAAAGGTGCGCCCTCCATGATTTATCTCATCCAATCTTCCATTTGAAGGGGAAAACCTGGCCAGGCATGGGCTTTTTACAGGTGAGCAAGCACTGTGGGAAGAGCAGCGATGAGCTGGATCAATTAAAGCCACTTTGGTGGGACCACAAATACTGTGTCAAGTCTTCTCCTGTTTTCTACTTGACTTGTGACACGCCACATTGGATTCATTCATAACTTTCACTTGAACTCTAGCAACTCTATTCAGGAAAGTGCACTGAGGAAACAAATTGTCCTACAGAGGTCATTGAAAACATTTTGATTACTTTGGTATAGAACAGAATAGAATTCTTTATTGGCCAAGTGTGATTGGACACACAAGGAATTTGTCTTTGGTGCTTAAGTTCACAGGGTACATAAAAAGACAAGATACATTCGTCATGAATCACAAGGTACAGCACTTAAAGATCGTCATAGGGTACAAATAAGCAATCCAATCCTACTAGGAAATAATCAATGTAAATCATAAGGATACAAGCAACAAAGTTACAGTCCTGCAGTCATAAGTGATAGGAGGAGGTGGGTGATAGGAACGATGAAAAGATTAATAGTAATAGTAATGCAGCCTTAGCAAATAGTTTGACAGTGTTGAGAGAATTATTTGTTTAGCAGAGTGATGTTGTTTGGGAAAAGGCTGTTCTTGTGTCTAGTTGTTCTGGTGTGCAGTGCTCTATAGCAGTGTTTTTCAACCTTGGCAACTTGAAGATGTCTGGACTTCAACTCCCAGAATTCCCCAGCCAGCATTCGCTGGCTG